TGTCCTTTTCAGATTTACATATGAATCGGCAAGATTTTATTGTTATTTGAAAAAAGTGTTTTACAAGCGGATTGTATACAATTCATCTTGTAAAATTATTTAAATTTCTTTAATTTTGTTTTTATATTATTTTATCAAAAATATTTAAATAATTTTACAAGATAAATTATATATAGTGTGTCTTGTAAAACAAATTTCTATTGTTATTTTATGGATTGAGATAGGTTTGCTTTAAGGATCCTCCTCTTGAGGTCCCTTCTCAACTGCTGCGTTACAATATTCAGTTCCTCACCCTTCATAGGTTTTTAATGTAAGGTCATCTTTCTCTACTTGTCATTTGTCAACAACATCATAACTAGAAAGCCGACTTTTGCGCCAAGCAAACCATAACCTGGTGGTAAGGCCCCTAGTGGTGTTGCATCAGCTTCTAGATTCGAGTCCATGCATCCCGCTTACCCACTGTTAGCTTGTTTCAATTGCCCTCTTCAGGTTGATAAAATATATACATATATAGAATAGAGGGGAGGAGAAGATAGCCAAATTTCGCACTTGGGTTCCTACCCGGATTCTAAAAAAAAGGTACACCTCTTAGACATGTGCTGGATTCAATTCCGTCCACCCCACATTTGTAATTGTTCAAAAAAAGAAAGCAAACTATTGCATCAACTAGATCAGAAATGATTAAATATGCAGTACAAGCACTTTCTAACAAACTGAACTCCATGTCTTTAATTTCAACAAACCATAGAGACTCAGGAATAATCATACAGAGATATACTCTTGTCATCAGACACACTAGCAAGCCGTCCAGCAGCACGAATACCAGCTCGAAATGCCACTCCCCAGACCTGGTCTGTGTGATTGCTCATCGTCTGCAGGGCTGCTCTCATCCTAAGATCCCATAGTCGTACAGTTTTATCACTTGAGCCGGTTGCAATAGCCTCTCCATCTGGGCTTGCATCCACGCTCAACACCCAGCTCGCATGACCTGACATGGCCCCAATCAGAGATTTCCCCTCGACGTCATAAATGTGTACATGTGCATCATCTGAGGCAGAGAAGAGCTTCCTTGGATCATTAGGAGAAAACACGAGAGACCTCACAGGCATGTAATGGCCTTCAAGGTGATATAGAAATTTTCCTCGAGCTGCATCAAAAACTGAAATGGTGCCATCCATTGAACCACAAGCAAGACGTTTTCCATCAGGGCTCCATGCAACAGAGAGCACAAACTTCTTGCTGCCGCTTTTGTCAGAAGGCTTGGATACTTCTGGACGAGGAATTGATAAAGTGGCAGTCAATCTCCATGTAGCAGTATCCCAGAGCTTGATTGATGCACTGCCACCACCAGCAACTGCAAGAGTGGTGCCCTGATGAAGGGAGCTGATATTTATTAGTATGCAATGAAAATCAAATTTTGGAGCATTAAAACTAAAAGGACTTCATAACTTTCAACTAATCCCCAGGAATTCTCACGACAATCAACCTACCCAATATTCAAATAAATTAATATTAGTTTGATATTAAAAGTATAAAAGTTTTCGCCAGTGACTGGCTTTTCTCTGCCATTCAGGACTGAAAAAACAATTCCCTTTAAAGTAAGAACTATAACCAGTCACCATGTGCAGTAATGTTTCAACAGAAGCTTATAGCCCGATTGATGATCTCATTAACTTGTTAAAGCCTTAATTCTGAACCAGGCTTTAAAACACCCAAGCATTCTAAAACTCTAATTTTAAAATAAAAAATTTTAAAAAATGGCACAGTGATGTAGAGGTACCTAATTACAATAACTAAGGCAAAAAATGCAGAGATCAGATTAAAAAGCTATCTATCAGGAATAAGTTAAAATGAGGTTTCTAATAGAAAAAGTATCAAAAAGTTTTGATCCCAGAACAAGCTTAGTTTCATCTAATGTCAAATTTCTTAGTTAGAAAAAAATAAAATCAAATCAAATTTCTAACTGTTGCATCACAATTATTCATTCATTTAGATAGTAAAACATAATTAATTCAATAAACAAATTATCTGAGAAAAGTAAAATTGCAAAGAAGCTCAGCTTTGTCACCTAACAGGGCCTTAACTTAACCCACCACGGACAGGCTGCTACCTCAGAACAATCAAACACAGATTTGGAGGTCAAAAATCCGAAAGTTTTGTATTAAACTACCCGCTTGCAAACCTAATTATGAATAAATCTAACAAAAAAAAGCTCAATTCATACCTTAATTTGCTTCTCCGCCAAACATCAATCTATTCAGGAATTCATAAACAAGAAGCTCTGAAGAATCAAGAGAGAAGCTAAAAATTACCTTAGGGTCGAACTGCATTTGCCAGACTTCAGAGGGAGGAGCCTCGAGACTGGCGATGGTAGCGTTGGTGTCGACATCGAAAACGCGAACCAAGCTGTCAATTGAGGCGGAGGCAGCGATTACGCCAGAGGGATGAGCAGCGACGGAAACGACACCGAGGCAGTGACCGGTGTTGGTGCGTTCCAGCACGAGGTCGTCGGACTTCCAAAACCTGACAGTCTCGTCGAGAGATCCGGTCATGAGGAGCGCAGGTCGGGCTTCGGTGGCCGGGACCCAAGCGGCAGCCCACACTGAGTCATCGTGTGCGTTTTCGATGGATTTCAGGCCTGCGAGCTTCATTTGATTTTGCTCTCTCTGAACTCTGAACTCTGAACTCCGAACCTACTTGGTTATCTCTGGAAGAACGCTTTGGTCTTTCCTTGCTTGAATCTTGGGTTAAACAAGCGTACCCGGAACAATAAAGATGGCAGTAGCTGGTAGCGAAATCACTTTCGTGAACTTGCTTTATTCCTAGAAAGCTTAAAAAGAATCCTCCTTTCCAACTGGCTCTTCTAGGGCTCGAAGGAGAGGTGTGCATTGAAGCCTCATCGACTTGGGGCAGGTAGCCTCAATGGGCTTAGCTGGCCCAAAACGGCAAGCATTGAAGACGTTTTGATGGTATATGCTTCTCTGTTCCAGAAGGGTTTCTTCCAGAAGTGTTGGGGATGATACAGCAGGTGAAGCAGGCAATGGAGAAATCAATCAGGTTGAGAGAGAAATGGTAGAGGTGACAGAGAGCAAGTTGAAGAAGGCCAAATACAATGTGCATAAAGAAGATAAAACGAAATTGGGCTCAAACAAAGAAGCTGACAGAGATAAAAAAAAGGGAAATTAAAGTGGAAGAAGCTTAGCACATCGGCGTTAAAATCTGCATGTATCCTGATTAATATTCATTTCATGATTCATGCCAATTTTACTTAGTGTGATATTAAACCATCATTATTAGGACCATCTGCATTGCTGAACAAACTAAATTTAAGGAATGAATTTCAAGGCATGAAGTGGCTTCCACTCTTACAATCGTCTTATTTACGTACTAATGCCCTTGCTTACTTTTGCACCCCCTGTTTTGCTGAGGGAGAGTCCTGATGGAGTTCTGAAGATGTGAAAACTGAGAAGACGGGTTCTAAAGGCTCTCCGAGAATCAAGCAGGGAAGAAGATCAGACCTATGTCAATGAAATTCTTGAGCACAAGATACTACTAGAAGTAGAAGAACCTTCATCTTCTTCCTCTCTTTTATTCAATTTTTATTTTTATGTTGGGTATTTTCTTTTCTTTCTTTTATATTATTTGGAAGAAGGGAAAAGTCAGGGAGCTGGAGCCACATCTCTAATTCCAGTAGAGACTTCATTGTTCTTTTGATTCATTGGTGCAGATCACTTCAAGCTCCAGATTTACATTTGATAGTAAATACATTCGATCAGTGGCTAAAGATTAAATTAAAACTTAGGCTTCCAGCAGCAGAATTTTTGTGGACAGCAGCATCACCTTTGAGTAGTTTCTTCGTGGTGACTCAATGACCCATCACATTGCCTCATTTTTGGGATATCAAGTTTGAGATGGCACTGACGTTCATTTTGGAGCATCAATGTCATTGTTTTTATCAAAAATTTTGAGGGGAGATACATTGTTTTCACCACGTATCATTTAGCTATGAAATTTTCCAAGGAAATGGCATTTCTGTTATTGTCTTCAATTGACATTGAGAGATGATGGCTTCTCCCCGGCTGATGATTTCCTCAAAAAGAAGTAAAATGATAAAATATGTTGATTGCTAACCGTGAGTAAATATTGTCTTAAATTCCTGCATCCACATCTTCATTTCCTAGTGCTGTTTGCAACAACAGACAGAAAGGCCTATTTAGATCATGGAGGAATGACACAAATCATATTAATGCATCACAAACAGGCAATTGAGGTGAAGTCATAAGGCAGCACACTGACAACTCATTTAACTTGATGATCTTCTACCTCAAGTTTGAATATGAATGGAAGACAGACTAATTTTCTTGTATGAATTTCTATAAACAATATACTTCAGTGGTGTCTCTTCACTTCATAGAGATGCCCAACAGAAGATACAGGAATGTTATGCCACACCCACTGTTGTTGCAGCAGAATTTGTTTCTTCTATTGCTTCCAGTTCCATAGCATTTAGAACTAGATGTTGATGCAATTTGAAGAAAATTCCTTTCTTTGAAA